CCCCATTCCTCTCTCACCCCAGGCCCAGGTAACCTCCATTGTACTTTCTGTCTCTCTGAATTTACCTATTACAAATACCTCATATAGGTGGAATCATACAATGTTTGCTCTGTTGTGTCTGGCTTATTTCATTTGGCATAATGTTTTCAAGGTTTGTCCTTGTTGGCATGTATCAGTACTTCATTCTTTTTTAAGGCTGAATAATATTTTATTATATGTATATCAATTCACTGGTTGAGAGACATTTGGTGGTTTTCGCTTTTTGACTATTGTGACTAATGCTGCTATGAACATTGGTGTTCAAATACCTGTTAGAGTCCCTGCTTTCAATTCTTTGGGGGCATATACCTAGAAGTGTAATCCTCATGTGTGTAAATTCTAAAGGATGCATATACTTAAATATTATAATTTGTGTTCAGGGTTGGACCTAGAAGCCCATGTAGATGGATTGAGGGATGCTGAAGATCTGCTTTAACTATACCTGCAGTTCCACTGCCTCAAGGTATTGGGAAATTCTGTTTGGATGAAAGATTGTCATTTGGAAAGGTCCAAAGAAGAGCTTATGTGTAAGAAACAAAACCTCCCCAATAATAACAATAACACATTGTGAGGTTCTTCATTTTCCCAGGTTCAATGTTGTCCCTTTAACTGATTGGTTAGAGTGCCCTCATGTGTCTGTATTTTTATGTTATAGAAGTTCTGAAAAAGATTTGATATTAGAATCATAGAGGGTGGGAGGATAGGGGAAATAGGTGATGGGGAGTAAGGCATGCCCTTGTGATGAGCACCGGGTGATGTATGGAAGTGTTGAATCACTATATTATATACCTGAAACTAATATTTCATTGTATGTTAACTGGAATTAAAATAAAAACTTAAAAAAATAAAATTTAATTTAAAAATAGAATCATAGAACTGGGGAGGAAATTTAAATACCTTTTTTAAAAACTGAAATTTGACTACATGCAAGGACCCATCTCTAAGCAGTTAAAAACAATCTTTTTTAACAGAGATCTAAATCACACACACGAGTATTTATAATGTATAGCTACAATGTAGCCAATGAAAAACCACACCTTTTCTAGTTAGAAAGAGTACTTACTAGTCCCTTAGAAGCTTCCTGGATGCCCTTCATAAATTGCATTACTCCTGCTTGCTCTCAGAGGTAACACTATCCTAAATATAGTGTTAATCATTGCCTAGCTTCTCTTTATAGTTTTACTACTTAGTGTTTGTTTCCCTAAACAGTATTTGGGGGAAGGGATAGAGAAGGGTCCTATTTTTTAACTTTCCATAAATTGAATCCTATCGTATGTATTGTTCTGTGACTTGCTTTTTTTAGTCTACCTTTTAAGAAAGCATATTGATTCATATTTTCAAATCTTTTTTCAAAAATTTTATTTATTCATTTGACAGAGAGAGACACAGCAAGAGAGGGGACACAAGCAGGGGCAGTGGGGGAGGGAGAAGCAGGCTTCCCGCTGAGCAGGGAGCCCGATGTGGGGCTTGATCCCAGGACCCTGAAGCTGAAGGCAGATGTTTAATGACTGAGCCACCCAGGCACCCCCATATTTTCAAATCTTTATGGAATTTCATTTTATGAATATACTCTTGGTAGACATTCAGATTTTTTCTAGTTATTAAGAATAAATATTTGGGGCATCTGGGTGGCTCAGTCGTTAAGCGTCTGCCTTCGGCTCAGGTCATGATCCCATGGTCCTGGGATCGAGCCCCGCATTGGGCTCCCCGCTCTGCGGGAAGCCTGCTTCTCCCTCTCCCACTCCCCCTACTTGTGTTCCCTCTCTCGCTGTGTCTCTCTCTGTAAAATAAATAAATAAAATCTTTTAAAAAAAAAAAGAATAAATGTTTGAACATTGTTCAACATGTTGCCTGGGACTCACGCGTAACAATTTCTCTGGGTGTACAAATATGAGTGGAATAGCTGGGTCCTAAGGTGTGCACACATTCAGTCTCTCTAGATAACACCGGTATTTCCACAGTGGATGAGAGCAGTCTATAGGAATTCCATTTTCTCCATATCCTTGCCCATACTTGTTAGATTTTTCCATTTTGACCAATCTGAGTGAAATGTTACCTTGTTGTGGTTTAAATGTGCATTTCTATGATTATTCATGAGCTTGGGCATCTTTTCATATGTTTATATGTAATTTGTGTTTTCTCTTCTATGAAATGCCTATCATGACTTGTGCCCACTTTTCTATTGGGTTGTATTTTTTTATCCATTGATAGGCATTCCTGGGGGAGGCTTTTTTTTAAAATAGCAAGATATAGCATTCATACAGAAGAGTGTAAAACATACACTGTTTAAAGAATGATTTAAAATCAAAAACTGCGTAACCACCACAGAGGTAAAAGAATGTTGCCAACACTCCAGAAACACCTCCTTTGCGCTCCCCCACCCTCATTACAGTCTTCTTTTCTTAGAGGTAATTACCATTATGACTTTTGTGGTAATTACTTCATCACTTTTCTTTTTATTGTCTTATCACCTGGGAATGCATCCTGAACAGTATAGTTTAGGATTGCCTGCTTTTGAATGTTATAAAAATGGATTCACACAGTATATTCATATTGCTTCACATAGTTGTAGTTTCATGTAGCTGTAGTTTGTTCATTTTTGTTGCTGTATAGTATTCCATTGCTGTTTGGTAATCTTGTTTCTGTATAGTACACCACGATTCACTGAACTATTGTCCTCGTGATGGAACTGGGGTTGTTTCGAGCTTTTTGTTCTTATAAAACTGCTAAGAATATTCTTGTAATATCTCTGGATACACTTGAGCAAGATCTTCTCTAGGGTATATACCAAGCAGTGGGATTGTTAGATCTAAAGTACACATATCTTCAACTTTACTAAATAATCCTAAACTCCTTTCCAAAGTGGGTATACCAGTTTGTGCATTCACCGCATTAGAAAATTCTCATTAGTCTACCAACAAATGTTGTCAGTTTCTAATTTTTGCCAAGCTAGTGAGTATAGTTTGTTACAAACCAGCAATTAAAGCCAATCACTATGGTTTTAATGCATTTCCTGATTAGTAATGAGTTTGAGCACCTTATATGTTTATTGGCCATTTGGATTTCTTCATTTTAGAAGCACTTATTCAATTATTTTACCCATTTTCTATTGGGATGTCTGTCCTTTTCTTTATATATCCTGGACACTGACTTTTGTCAATCATAGATATTTTTTCCCACTCTGTGGTTTATGTGTTTCTTTCTTTATGATGTATTTTGAAGGTCAGGTTTTGTGTGTTTGTTTGTTTTTCAATTTAAATCTAGTCAAATTTATCAGTCTTTTCTGGTTAGTGCTTTTCATTTTATTTATTTATTTATTTATAGAAAGAAATGAACTTGGCTTTACTGGAAAGAGTTTCTACATCTGATGCTCTCAGTTTCTCATTGGGCCCTATAGCCTTATTAGGAATATTTCCTCTGCCTGCAAAGTGGCTCAACATGAGAGTGTATCATCTGTTGATTATTGCTTAACAATATTTCCCCTTAATAATAGTTGAAGATCCAACAAAACAAAACAAACAAAATACCCCAAACAATCAAAAAGCTAGCCGTCACTGTGAAAAAGAAGATGGGGAAAATATAAAATGTATGCAGAAATGGTGGGGCACATACAGACCACATCTAATTAGCATGCAGAGGGACTTTGGGGTGACTTTGTAACAGTGACCAAATACCTCTTTTCCTATCAATCCCTTAAAGCCTAAGAACTTCACCAAACAACTTCCCCAGCCCACTGCCTTCACCCAGGCAGACATAACCATCCCAGTTTTGGAACTCCCATAGCACTTTGGTCTCTTACCAGAAACACACTGTGAAAATTAAAACTCAATTATTAGAATTAGATGTCCTCTTGCTAGGACTCCAGGTACTGGGCAGGCTCCTCCACTTGCAAAAGTGTCTTATCCGTCTCAGTTTTCACAGTTCCTGGCTCATGTTTCTGGTTGCTGGTACTTGGGAAGCTTTAATAAACAATTATAAATGACAATAATCCAAAGAGAACATAAGTGCCTTTTACTGTCATATGGGTGGCTAATGTTAGAACTGAGACTAAGAGCCTACATCCTGAGTCTTTCACACACAATGCCAAAGATATCTAATGTTTCCCTGAAGGATAACTCTTCTCATGTCATTTTCCTGCTGAGAAACAAGATAAAAAACTTAATAACTTAAATGGCTCCCCATCACCTGGAGAACTCTGGACTCCTCTTAATATCTGCTCATCATCCCCAGTGCTCTCCATCTCTGTTCTACTGTATAAAGTAGTGCTTTTTATGTTACATATTCCTGGTTAGTGCTTTTTATATCATGTATTCCTTTTTTTTAATCCTGGGATTTGCTTTTTATTTATTAATTTTTTTTTCTTGGTGCTCCAATCCATTGATCATGAAGATAGTTTATGATGTTATATTCACAAAGTTCTAGTTTTGTTGTTCACATTTAGGTCTTTGCTCCACTGTGGTGTGCGAAGAATCCAATTCACTTTTCCCCAGTACAGATCACTAATTATTTCGTGAGCACTTACTACAAGGCATTCTGTCTTCCCCTCAGCTTTGCAGAGCCTCTTCTGTTTTCACTCAGGGGTCCACATACAAGGGTCCATTTCACAACTTGTTATTCCTTTATTAAAGAGTTTGATACTTTGCTAATAAAGTCATGTTTTTGCTTACTTACCTCCTGTACGACTCTTAAGAGTGTTTAACTTATTCATTACGTGGGGAAAAAATGCCACCGCAAGCTCGTTTGGCCTGTGAACACTGCAGAAGGTCATTTCCTAGGCCACCAAAGACCCACCAAGGAGAGCATCCCTCAAAAACTCCGCCCCGCGGACGCCAAGGCCCGCCTTTTTCTGAGGACGCAACCCACCGCGCTGCCGGGCCCGGGCTCACGCGTCGCACAATGAACTGCGCCTGCGCCAGCAAACGCCCCGCCCCTCCTCCCCGGTCTTCTATAAAGCCTCGAGCTTCTCCTCGCGAGAGAATTCGTTCTCATGCTCGCTGCAGGGGTCGGAGGTCAGAGCGAGCGTCTCGCGGGCCGTAGGAGGAAGATGGCGGTGGAGTCGCGCGTTACCCAGGAGGAAATTAAGAAGGAGCCGGAGAAACCGATCGATCGGGAGAAAGTATGGGGTCCGAAAAGAGGTGGAGGTGGGCCCGGCGGGGCGGAGAGCGCGGCCTGTGTGAGGAAGTCGGCGGTGTTTTGCTCCCCGGGCGATTCGGAGGCCGCGGCGTCTCCAGAGGGGAAAGGAGCTCCGGACTCGCAGCCGCTTTCTTTAACTTCTGCCCTTCCTTTTCCTCCTCTCGCTCCTAGACGTGCCCGCTGTTGCTGCGTGTTTTCACCACCAATAACGGCCGCCACCACCGAATGGACGAGTTTTCCCGCGGAAACGTACCGTCCAGCGAGCTACAGATCTACACTTGGTGAGAGCAAGGGGGGTCGCGGGGTCGTGGCGGGGGGTGGGGGGTCAGGCATTAACATTAATGTCTTATGCCAGTGAAGAAATATCCTACTTGGTTTTGCTTTCTCTTACTCGGGGTCTTTGGGCCCAGCTCTCAGAAAGTTAGAGGTTTTAGCTGTTAGGTAAAAGGGGATTCGCCCATCTTGTAATACTGTTACGTTTAATGTTCAGAGTTTTGGGTGGTGAAGAATTGACGCACGCAAGATTGCTATCACTGTTGTGGCTGCTTGGTACAAATATAATATGCAGATAAATAAAATGCAGTAGCTGCCGTTAAGGGACTCATAGTCAAATAAATGGAAATCATGGGATATTTATCCTCAGGAGCATTTCTGTGTAATATTAAGCCTTGGGGGCTAAACATTAAAAAATCAAAAACCAATTGATTTCTGATCTGGTGCTTAATGGGAAAGCTTTTGATGTGTGTTCCTGAAGACTTGCCCCTGAATGTTTATCTCTTAGGTGTACCCTCTATACCCCCAAGTCTGTCTAGGGCCATTACACATTGCAAGCTTATCTTTAGAGCTGCATATATTTCTTTAGTTTGACATCATAATGACTGTTTAGTTGCAGTGAAAGGTTAATAAGTTTTAAAAATAAGTCTTGTGGTAAAGATATATATAACATTACATTTGCCATTGTGATTTCTTAAGTCTGTGAATCAGTTGCATCAATTATATTCACATCGTGCAACCATTACCTATTACCAAAACTTTTTCTCCCCGCCGCAGAAGTTCTGTACTCAGTAAGCAATAACTCTCCATTCCTGATAGACTCTAATATAGTTTATATCTATATGAATTTGCCTATTCTAGATACTTGTGTCTACTTGTGTAGTGGACTCATACAATATTTGTTTTGTCTGGCTTATTTCACTTAGTATAATATTTACAAGGTTCATCCATCTTGTTGCATGTAACACAACTTCATTCTTTTTTATGGCTGAATATTCAGTGTATCAATATACCACATTTTGTCTATCCACTTTTGTGTTGATAGGTACTTGAGTTTCCATTTTTTGGCTTTGTGACGCTGCTATGAACCTGGGTATACAAGTATCTGTTTTGAGTCCTTGATTTCAGTTCTTTTGGATATATACCTAAAAATGGGATTGCTGGATCATATCGTTATTATATGTTTAACTTTTTGAGGAACCGCCAAACTGGTTTTCACAACAGCTGCACCATCTTACAGTCCCAGAAGGGTGTGTAATTTCAAACTGCGAGTCCAGCATAGTAGAACTCGATTCTTTAAAGATCGGGACCTTATTTGTCTTTTGTAGGTACTTGTTAAATTTATGTAGTATGATTTTAGTTCAGCATCATTCCAGGATAAAGTTCCAGGAAGTTTGATGTAACTTACGAGGAAGAACTGTTACTAATGTATTGATGAAAACCTCTGTTCAGAGATTAAAGTATATACTTCTTCCAGCAGTAAGAGTTCCTATTTGCCAGGTGCTGTGCTTAGATGCTGAGGGTATGACGTAAAGAAGGTACTGCCCCTCCCTGCAGTAAGCTCAGTCTAATGGAGAAAGCAGATGAATAAATACTAATTAGGTAAGACTTTAGGGTGAAGATGGCAGAGTGAGATTGTTCCAGAGATCCTCTACTCCTAATCCAGAAAAAAAGTGCAGAAAAATTCTATCCCTGAACTGCAACCAAATAAGGAAAGACAACCTTATGTTATACCTCAAATTGATGGCAAAAGAAATATTCTAAAAGACTGAGTGGTTGGTGTGACAGCACAGAGCCCTGCCCCCTTTTCCAGAAGCAGTACTGAAGGAAGATTAGTCAATAAATCTTGGGAACTCTCCATTTGTAGAAGTAGATTGAGGGACTAAGTAGGCAGGAAATAAGTCAGAGAAAAAGGAATGGAGTCCGGAGGAGCCTAGCAGAAGTGAGTTGAGTTTGCCAAAGTTCAAGGCACTGTATGGAGTTGAGGGAACAAGCCAGACACCACATTAGTGGTCAGTCTCCTGTGCTTGGGTGGGGGGTCATTGAACAGGTTATTGAAAGAGAATTACCTAGGTAGCTGTATCAGGGTTCAGCTAGAAAAATGGAACCAGTAGGAGATCTGTATGAAGAGATTTATTACAGAGAATTGGCTTACATAATTCTGAGGGCTGTCTAGACACCTCTAAGTCCCCAATCTATGGGGCGAGCTCTAAGGAAGGGCCAGGCTGGAACTCTTAAGCAAGAGCTAAGACTGCCCACAGCAGCCTGAATTTCTTCTTCAGGGAAGCCTCCGCTCTGCTCGTAAGGCCTTTTCAACTAATTGAATCAGGCCAACTCAGATTGATTGAATGAGGCTGACTCAGATTATCTGGAATAACTTATATTTAAAGCCAACTGGTTATAGACTTGGACCACATACACAAAATACCTTCTAGTAACACCGTTGTTAGTGTGATTGAATAACAGGTTGTAGCTTTGTCAAACTGACCCACAAAACTAAGCCTCACAGTCACACAGCAAAGACTTGAGTCCCAAGAGAGCGCTTGCGTTCCTCATCCATGTACTCTAGCTTTGGACTAGTGGTCAAAAAGCAGCCCTGGCACTCCCAGCCGTTGGTCTAGGGAGACAGACCTCAGGTTGGAAGCTTGTAGGAGATTTCACAGTCAGAACTGATAATAGATGTAAACAAAATTCCCCAAGTTTGTTAGGAACAAGATGACAATATGGAAAGTATTTTTAGAAAGGAAGAAAGAACGCTTTCTGGTATACATCATAAGTATGTAGGTGTACCAGGGAATAACTGATGTGGAATAATTAATATCAGAAGATCAGGTTAAATAAAAACAAAATCAGTCTTGCCTCAGACTTCATCAGGACAAAGTTAAAATAGCCCGGGGAGGGGCGCCTGGGTGGCTCAGCCGTTAAGCGCCTGCCTTCGGCTCAGGTCATGATCCCGGGGTCCTGGGATCGAGCCCCTCATTGGGCTCTCTGCTCCGTGGGAAGCCTGCTTCTCCCTCTCCCACTCCCCCTGCTTGTGTTCCCTCTCTCGCTGTCTCTCTCCCTGTCAAATAAATAAAATTAAAAAAAAAAAAAAATAGCCTGGGGAATTATTGCAGAATAGAACTCTGACAGAGTAAATAAAAAGTTACAGAATTAGGAGGTGATAGGGGTAACTGAATCTTTATTTGAAATTTTATAATTCCTTCAATTTTACTTTTTTCTTCTGTTACGCAAATTTTATTAAAAATATGTATAATATTTGAAACAAATTATAGTTTTGTATTATAGCTCAGTATGTATAATATGCTTGATAATCTTAAGATTTTTTTTCTGTAGCATTGTGTATACATAAAAAAAGATACAGTGATGTTAACATCACTGGTTATTTCTGGTTGGTGAGATTTGGGATATAATTTATTACATTTTTGCATATGGCTTTCCCCTCTCTTTAAATAACATGGACATGTGTTAAGTGGAGAAAGGCAGTCATGCACAGCTTCTCACCTCTTCCTTGCATGGCATAAGAGTGACCTGGGGCTTGGAAAGGTTTTTTGTTTTGTTTTGTTTTGTAGTTTTTTTTTAAAGATTTTTATTTATTTATTTGACAGAGAGAGATAGCGAGAGCAGGAACACAAGCAGGGGGAGTGGGAGAGGGAGAAGCAGGCTTCCTGCCGAGCTGGGAGCCCGATGTGGGACTCGATCCCAGGATCCTGGGATCATGACATGACCTGAGCCGAAGGCAGACGCTTAACGACTGAGCCACCCAGGCGCCCTTGTTTTGTTTTTTGCAAAGAGATGAAGAGCCCTCAAATCCTGTGCTGGGCAGATGTCTTTGGGAGTGTCTTTCCCTGTTCTGGGTTTGATGTGTTCTTTGTTCTGCCTGTGTGCCATTGTATGGCACCTGACCTGCAGTGTCTGTTCTCAGAGGTCTTTTACCTGCAGCACAAGAAGGGTGCATGCAGACTATCTGGGCATCAGCTACAGGGTAAGACCTGCACTCTTCATGAAGCAGATCTTGTGCTGTCTTTTCTCATTGCAAGTAAAGCATCGTTCCCTCCGTTGTCTCTGTGAGTTGTGTCTGTCTTGGCATCCCCAGCACCTGCAAACTAATGCAGTAGGTTGATATCCTGGGATTGCTGCTTCAGGTGGTTGATCTCCTCCCCTGGTGGTGGGAACAGGTGTCACTTGTGTGACATAAGTTTTATACAGAAACTTTTAAAAACTGAGTTGGAGATGAGTCAAAGGCAGTTAAATAATGAGGTAGAAATCAGTGATGGTGGGGAATGGAGAAGACAATATGATCTGTATTTAGGAGGTAGAAACAACAGGATAGAGATGGGAAGAACTTAACAGTGCTTACGGGTTTATGGCCTGAGCAATGAAGTGGGTGATGGGAGGGTTTTTTTTTGTTACTTTTCTTTAAGTAGGCTCCCACCCAGTGTGGAGCCCAATGTAGGGCTTGAACTCAAGACCCAAGCTGAGATCAAGTCAGATGCTCAACTCACTGAGCCACCTAGATGCCCCAGTGATGTTAGTTCTGATGGTACTAGGAGAGAGCCAGGGCATGTTTTGTGGGGGAAGGCTCTTCAAGGAGTATCTGGTGTCCTTTGTTTTCATTTTATAGCCCCCTATAGGCAAAGTTGTTTCAGTTCCACATCATCCATTTCATTCTTCCAGTTGTCATGAAAGAAAACTATAAAAATTTACACTGTTACAGTTTGTTAACGATTTCCAAGATGCTCATATTTTGAAAGATTTTTCTAGGTTGTGCCATATTAGCTCAAAAGTCTGTTTTAAGTTCTGAGTTCAAATAAATATTTGCAGGACAAGAATATGTATTGTGAAAGGAACCTATGCTTAGTCCTAAAGAAAATTTCATATTTCATTGGTCTTTACGGCTCTATCTGCTGTAAAACTCTTAAGATTCCATCTTTAGGGGGCACCTGGGTGGCTCAGTCGTTGAGCGTCTGCCTTCGGCTCAGGTCATCATCCCAGGGTCCTGGGATCAAGCCCCACATCGGGCTCCCTGCTCAGCGGGAAGCCTGCTTCTCCCTCTCCCATTCCCCCTGCTTGTGTTCCCTCTCTCGCTGTGTCTCTCTCTGTCAAAT